CCACAAACTCCTGAGGTTAAAGGCCACCTCTTTGCAACACCACTGCAAAGACCCTGAAGGTATCAGAGATGTCCCAAGATCAGGGGATGTGATCCACAAGCTGAACGAGGCCAGCTGATGGCTAGAACCTCATGTACAAAGGCTACATGCTACCACACAAACTATGAGTTTTTTACCTCATGGCTTCACTAGAACAGCTTCAGCACCCTTATATATGGGGAATTTCTTGTGGTAAATTCTTTTAAATTTCTTCTTTGCAGCTGCCCAGCAGAAATAAAGCAGAAGGCCCACAGACAGCAAGACCCACAGCATAAGGGCAGGAGGGAACTTCAGCCTTCAATAAAAAGCTGGCACCATGCTTTAAATCTTCGAATCTTGAAATCTTTGAAATTCTCACTTGCCAGGGTGACTGGATTATCCCCTCCATCTCACACTCCTGCACTAAGAGATGTCCCCTCACCAGTGATAAATTCTTGATCCCATTGGTGCAGCCTCTGTTTTTCCCGTGGGCTGGAGGGAATTTCATCAAATCATGGAATGCTTGCAGATGGAAGGGACTTTTAAAGGCCATCAAGTTCAACCCCCTTGCAGTGAGCAAGGACAAATTTGCTCGCATCTTTTTATTCACATCATTTATACTCACTATCAGTAATGGAATGAGACACTGAGAAATTATTTTCCTCAGTGCAAGGCTTCAACACAGCCTCACAACATCATCTTCAGCCACAAAAAAAAAAAAGGATTACAGCAAGTTAAAGAGTTAAACAGCACCTGTCTCTCCATAACTTTTCTATATCATGCAAGTCCAACACTGCTGGAAGAGTCCGAAAGAACAAAAGCAGCAAAGCCACTCTTGAGGGGCCTAGAAGAGTAAAACCCATGGGTTCAGATGTTCCAGTTATGCACTTTAAAGTGGAGAAGAAGCAGTATAATTCCTCCTGGGAACAGCCGATGGGTCAGCACAGGGATGCCCCTGCCTCGTTCCAGGGATGAAGATTTCTCCCGCCTCCTCCAGCAGAAAGAAGATGCATTTCGAGCAGCAGCAGTGCTGCTTAGGGTCCTGTCTGTCAGAGCAAGGGGGCTTTGGGAGAGGGAAGGTCAATGTGCAGAAGAACGGGGTGACCCCTGGTGCCTGCCCCATCGATGGGAGGTCCCACCCCTGCCCACCTGGATGGTCCAGGGCAGATCTCTGCTACAGACAACCCACCTGGGCTTTGCTCCTGGACCTCACATCAAATCATCAGCATTGTACAGCTCACAGCACTTAGTAATCTTGTGGATTGGCAGCCTACTTATTTTCCAAGGTTTGGGTCTTTCTTTTCTCTTTAAAAATGCCCAAAACCACCAGCCTGCTTGTGAACAAACCAGTCATGCAAAAGCCACAGAGCAGCGACAGGAGAAATGGTAAAAGAACACCAGGAAAAATGTCTGCTGACATTACAGAAGGATGTAGAGATCTCCACTGAGGCCCCCACTGCTTCCCCACGCTCGACATTCCCCCCAAAATCAGAGGAAGAGCAGTAGAAAGTAGCAGGAAAAAAAAACCTTCTTGTCTGGAGAAAGAATTCAGTTGTGGAGAGAAAAGGCCCTTTTTGGAGGGAAAAAAAAAAATAAATCACTGTCTGGAAATTTGGGGTGGAAGCTACTTAAGAGCACTCGAGCAGACCGGGTGAGGGCACGTGCCCCGTGCCGGCCAGGGGCTCACAGAGCCAACGAACAGTTCTGGGATTCAGAGATGAATTCTTCAGATAAGTCTTGTCCAGGAATGTCTGACAGCGCAAGTGAAGCAAAGATTGCAACATTTTTTCCATAGTTCTGGGCCTCTCGAATTAAAAAAAGTCATTATCTAGCAGGCAAAGGCAGAAATGGAAGCAACAAGCAGGCAGTTGTGAAAGGTGAAGAAGTGGGCATCTGCCCCCGGCCCGGCGGTTCCTCCTCCCTCCCTGGGCTCGAGCCCATCAGATCCACCCAGCCCTCGCACACGCAGGGGTTGAAGTTGTGCCAAGAGGAATCTGAGAGGTGGGAGCTCAGCCTGCACTGAGGCCAGCTCCATCCTGCACCCCAGGTCCACTGGTATCCCCGGGAGACACGTGCTGACAGTCCTCCCAAGGTCAACCCTTGTGTTGTTTTGCTGCTTATTTCATCCCTATGGGATACTCTAGAAGTTGAGGAGCACGGTCCCAAACACGTCCCAGTGTTAAACACAAAAAAATCTTGCTGGCACCTGTTTTTAGCCAGTTCAGCTTCTCTTTGAGAACCCACAAGGGTCCCTGTGTGGCAGTACCATGGGGAAGAGTAGGATCATCCATGCTGAGACCAAGGGGAGCATCTCAGCACAACGAACCCACCACTCTGGTGCTACAGCAGAACCCCCAAAGCTCCCAGCCATGCTGAAAACACGAGGCCCAGACCTAGCTAATTCCACACGTCCTGAGTCCCACTCCTCTGCAAAACCAGAGGCACAAATCACCACACTACAGAGGCCACTGTGATGGCCAGAAGAAAAACTGCTTCTACGTAAAGATCAAGTTCTGCCAAAATTCCCAAGGGAGGATTTCTTGCTCTTAGCCCAGAGCAGACCTTGGCACTCTGCGATTAACCGTTAAGCACCGGCCTTGGCACAGAGAAACAAATTCTGAAGGCTTTCCGCAAGCCAACGTCTCCTGCACAGCCTGGGACTTGGGAGAGGTTTAAATGAGAACGGTTTGTGGTCTATAGGATATTCCATGTTTTTGAAAGTAAGCATGTTCCTAGCAGAGAGAGCTTGAGGAGTGCAACAGGGAGCAGGGAAGAGCCAAGCGTATGCCACAGAGGTGGGTCTGCCTCAGCATCCCCACCTTGTGTCCCCACTGTCACCCCAAATAGTGGCCGACCTGGCAGCACTTGGGTGGTGGGAGCAAGGGGCTGGCCATGGGCAGCAGGGAGGGAGGGTGCAGGGATGCTACACCCTCTGTTGTTTTTTTTTTTTATTATTATTATTATTATGGGTTTATAAAGAGATTTTAAAAGCTTTGTGTAAGCCTAGGAGATACCTTTTGATTTTGAGCTCTGGATCCTGCACCCAGGGTCCCACCAGGTGAATACTGTCCTCAGCAGCACTCCTCCCACACTTCTGCTGCAGGGTGGAGGTGGCAGAAGCTTCTACCCAAGAAAACCCCCTTCTCTTGATGCCAGACCAGAGCCTCCACATAAATAAGAGCTGGCAGAGATCTCTTCAAGACTTGAAAACAAAGCACTTCTACTCAAAAAGCAGCCCCTGGGGCACCTTGCCAACCAAAAGATGGCCTTTTTAGCAGAGTCATCTTGACTATAGTCCCTTTAATGATGAAAAAAATTAATCACTTGAAAGGATCCAGGGGGAAGTCTCTCTTTGAGTAGCTCCTGGGAACAGAGTAATAGAGACTTGCAATACCAATCAGACATAGAAGAAACCACCCTAACAGCATTTTGGACAAGCCCCTCTCAACACTGACGACTCCCCACACAGAGCATCCTGCAAACATCCAGAAAAAGCAGCGCAGGTTTGATGATCTTGGAGGTCCCTTCCAACCTAAATGATTCTATGATTCTATGAAAGGTCTGGGGAGGCTTTAGAGCTCTCTGCTCGGGGACCCTGGGTGGGTGGGGGGGAACAATAAGTGCAAGGTCAGCAGTTCTGGAGACCGTGTGACTGGCCTGTCTACGCTGCAGATGGCCAGCACCAGCCAACTGCTGATGAAGGCCAGGGCTCCAGAAGGCTCCTCGGCTGGGATGGGATCCAGCAGCTTCCCGGCCGGGCTGGACACCAGCAGGCGTCAGCAGAGACCCGCGGCGGCAGCTTCACTCCCACCAAAACCAGAGCTGGGCCAGTGCAGGGAAACAGCCGGGGAGGGGGAGCATCAACACCCACCTCCCCACGTGGGGAAACCGTGAGCATTGTGCCCCCAGCAGGCTGGGGATTGGGGTGACCTGAAGCTCCAAAACCTTCTGAGAGCCTCACATCACCATAAGACCCTTTGAAAGCATTAAGTGAGACCATTCCTGCCTTGCCAAGACCACGTGGCATTGCTTTGCTCCTACACCAGGACCACGCTTCCAGCACAGTGTGGCTTCACTCCCAGTGACACTGGTGTGATTCACAACTGGTTTCACAGCTTACGCTGTTTCCAAAGGAAAACAAAAACCTGAGCTAACTGGAAACAAATGCTGGATGCAGCACTGCTGGCATTAGCCCTGTCTTCTGGGGAAACTGAGGCACAGGCTTGCCTGACTCCCTGAGCACACATCAAGTGTTCCAGGTGTCACCAGGTACTACCAGAAGCTGCATCATGGAGTCTTAGTGAGCACTCCTCCTCTGCTGAGCTCAGCAAACCCCACGAGTGATGCTCAGCAGTGAAACATAGGGTGAGGAGCGTGCTCAAAATCTCAGCCTGGCAGCTCTCTAGACAGGGTGTCCAGGCTGCCCTCAGGGCACCACGGGTGTCTTTAAAACACTGTCACAACAGGAGCAAGAGGGAGACGTGCTGAAATCAGCCTCTCTGCTCCCAGCAGGGCAACAGCCCCCCAGCGAACCCCCCTCCACGTTTGTAAATCTGAGTGTCATCAAAATGGGCTAATAACAGGAGGCTATCAAAAAGTGCTTGAGCCAGTGGTCTTCGATGCGTCCGAGGGTGCTGAACACCCTGCTGTGGTGCTGCCGGGAGCTGCCCCACAGCTCAAGGGCAGCAGGGCAGAGAGACGGGCATGGGGTCTGGTACCCACGCTGAGCCCCATCGTAACATCAGGGACCACCCAGGCCGGGGGGAGCAACCCCCCCGCTGCTGGTCCAGCCTCGTGTCCCCCCACGAGGACCAGAGCAGACATCGGGGGACAGAGCAGCGAAAGGGGTGCGAGGGAACAACTAAAGGGGTGCGAGGAAAAGCAAGAGGCAATCACCAATAACGTGCCAACCCAAATTCTCCTCCGCAGGTCCTGGGAGGAGAAGAGAAGTGAGGGGCAGCGGTGCCCTGGGGAGCACTCACCGTTCGTGGACGATGTCAGGCAGTGGAAGACGCTACCGGAGGTGCAGTTCTGCCAGAGATCCGCCGTGTGCTCGCCATTCACCAGCCATTGCTGCCAAGAGACATAGCCCCGTCAGCAGGCTCCAGTGGCCACATCCCCCCCAAAAAGTTCATCACCCAGCAGCCCCAGCACGTGCCAACACACCCGTGCCCGGCTGGGCACTGCCAGGCACGTGTTTTAATTTAGAAAGGGGTTTGGAAAGTAAATCCTGCTATTTGCTTTTAGCTGCTTTCACCTCAACGGCAGAAAAACAGAAGCTCTTTATTCTCTGAGCGTGGAGTGAGTCCCCCGGGGGACGTGCCCTTCCCTCCCCTCCACCGTGCTCGCCTGGTGCCTGGCCTGGCTCTTTGGATGCTTCCACGTGATATCTAATGACTCGGAAGATTTTTGTAACGTCTTCTACGAGTACTACCGTCCAAAAAAACACCAAACCAAAGCCAAAAATTTAAAAAAAAAAAAAAAAAAAAAAAAGGGAAAGAAGGACCTGGTGAAGCAGGCCTGGAATTCACCACGCCACAAGTGAAACCTCTTCCTACATTAACTGAGCTGTAGACTGAGCACGGTGCTGGGAACCCTCCATGCAGCATCCAGCCCTCCATCTCCCCACTGCCTGCAAAGCCTGAGAATCACCCCTCAGGGCTAGCAGACTAACTCACACCACCTGAAGAGCGGAGCTGGAGAGCAAAACTGCTGGTGCTGAGGAGCCCAAACCAGCCCCGTTTCAAGTGGTTTTGCTCCAGACTGGCCGTACTGGTCCTGCGGGCTGGAGCCTGTTAGCAGGTGGAGCTCTTTCATGAGAGGGGAAGGCAGTGTCACCCCCATGGAGGGGAGTCTGGCAGGGGAGCTGCTCCCTGATGGGAAGCAGTGTGGGGATGATGACGAGGGGCTTCAACGCCTTCCTCCATACTGAGGGGGATGCTCCGAGCCCCTGCTGCGGCACACAGCTGAGAAACCCACCGGTTACACCAACCCGGGAAGAGCTTTGGGTGCAAAATTCTCCCAACCCCCAGTCAGTAAGAGCAGTGAGCAGCCAGTAAAGGTTTCGGGCTAAAAGCCGGGCTAGAAAACAAACCACAGATGGAAAAAAAGAGTTTTCCGGAGGAAAGCCTGTACTCACACTGACGATGGTGGAGACGAAGAGAAGCACCAGCACGGTGACGTGGAGCACGATGATCCCCAGCAGCAAAAGCAGCATCTTGGCGGCGGGGCAGGCAGAACTGGAGGGGGAGAGGGATGCTGCTGGGGGTGCGCAGTAGGAGGCGCTCGGCCGGCGGC